TCAAACCAGACATGTTTCTTGATCTCACACAAACCGCCCTTGCCGTAGCCAAGCCGATCGGTCGGGTTGTCCCTGAAACAACGTTTTTACAGTTGATCAGATAGAGGGAAATTTGCAAGAGAATATCCTTCAAAATGCAAAATTGGCAAAGGTTAATTATCAAAAATAAAGCGTTTCTTTACTCATTACAAACCTAGTTAAAAAGGTCAACACAAAATAAAGAATTGTTTGTGCTGTGAAGTCGAAAATGGAACTGCGCAAAAACAATGAAGGGCCGAATTGAATTTTTTTGCTGAATTCATAGGTTGCATCAGAGAGTGGAAAAGCCTGATATAGCCGATCACAGAAATCAGGTCTTTTCACGTATATTTGGCGTGTTGGATTGTAGCAAAGGAGTTAGACTTATTTTTAAGGACTTTCCGACTGCCGGCTGTGAAGTGAGGACGTTGAACTTTGCATTGAAGGTTTCCTAACTGCATGTTAACTCTTGTAGGTTTTCGGGTTATTAAGGTTTCTTCGTTTTGGCAAAACCCTTTTTGGTTTCATAGTCAGTGTGATGTCTTCACAAGTTGTGCCTGCCGGTTTCGAAAGAAATCCAAGGCAGCATAGGAGGCTTGCATGGTACAACAAATGGCAAATATACTCTTTATATATTATCATATAATATTTATAATAAATGAATAACGGGGAAAAACTGTGGATACATAGATGACGTACATTTACAGTGCCTCTAAAGCTTTCCTATACGGAATGTTCATTTTAACTGAACCGTAAAGAAACGCGGCTACCTTGGTGGGATCCAAATTAACGACAACAACGAGGAGGCTTGGGTACAGCCAACGCCCTGTCCTAAGTTTGAGCACATTTGGTCACACTACCCGTCCAACGTATACAATTACCATATTGAATACCATATTGGATATTGTGGGAGACATTCTCCACACGAGAGGCAGCAACTTATGAACAACTGCGCTTTCTACATAAGTGCGTTCGAGACGGACTGACACCGAGGAGCCTCCGTTATAAAGCGCCAGTGAATACCGAATTGGGCCGATGCGTCTTACAACGCTTCCGGAAGCAAATGATAAGAGTGCTGATCAAAGACTGCCACTTACGCCTGCGCAAGTACCGAACGGTCATAAAAGAAAGAAGGGCGGAGTGCACGGCATTGCTCGGCGAATCAGTTACTGAGTGTCTGGACCGAACAATATTTACCGTGGCAAAAGGGAGAGAGGAAGTGAAACGCATGAATTTATACCAAAAAGCAGTCAAAATTAAACCCGAAATCAATACCAACGAAAATGTGGTACACAACTTATCGTCGAAGCAGTTAAGCGAAATGGAACTCAGAGTGTTGAGCCACGAAGCCAATTTTGACACTGTTGATGCCACCCCAGCCGACTTCATTGCCGCACTTGAGGCCATGTTAGTACGAACTAACGCAAGCGAAGAGGCTAAACACAAGATTCGCCAAAAGGTTACCTCTCTCCTGATGACGAACAGGCACGCTAGCAATATGTCACCCGCAGAAATAGAAGCAATGAAGAGATTAAAAATGGACAAAGATATTATAGTGCTACCGGCCGACAAAGGAAGAGCAACAGTTGTGATGAACCGCGTTGATTACAACGAGAAGGCACAAGCTCTCCTGGACGAACAACAATCCTACAGGCCCGCACCCGCCTCGCAGGCCAAATCGATGATTGGCCAGCTGACTGGACTCTTAGGCCGACTACGGCGCAAAAATGTAATTTCGCTGGACGAATGGCGCCAGAAAAAACCAACCGACACGGCGTTGGCCAGGTTCTACGGACTACCAAAAATCCACAAACCCAACGTTCCTCTGCGGCCAATCGTTGCCCTGAAAGGCAGCCCCACATACAATTTAGCCAAATGGATGCCCCGAAAGCTCAATTTACTCCGAGAGGGCTCTGTGACGTCCATCAATTCGGCCTCCCAATTCCTTGCCGACATTCGGGGAAAGACTATTTGACCCGACCAAATCATGGTATCCTTCGACGTTGTCTCACTTTTCACGTCCATCCCACCAGACTTGGCGCGCGACGTGCTACGCAAACGCCTCGAAGAAAAGTACGACGAAAAAACAGAGCCGCTAAACATCCAGCACCTAATGCAGCTCTTTGCATTCTGCCAACGAACCTTTTCCGCCTTCGATGGCAGAACCTACGAACAAATCAAAGGAACACCCATGGGTTCCCCAATATCCAGCCTTGTTGCGGGATTGGTCTTACAAGAGCTGGGAAAGGTTGCTTTCAGTCACTACAAACCGGCGTTTTGGCCTCGATACATGGACGATACATTCGTCATTATTGAAAAGGACAAGCTATCTGGTTTTCAAGACTTACTTAACAGCATATTCCCCGACATTCAGTTTACAAGAGAAGATGAGGAGGACGAGAAACTATCCTTCCTTGACGTTCTCGTCACGCGCGAACCTGACGGTGAACTCAGCCCTACAGTGTACAGAAAGGCGACAAATACAACCCAGGTCCTTAACTATCATAGCAACCACCCATTTGTGCACAAATGAGACTGTGTGAGGGCGATTTTCGACCGGGTAAAAACGCACTGTAGCCAGCCCCAAGAAAGGATGCAAGAACTACGGCATCTCCGGGACCAATTAACAAAAAACGGCTACCCAAATAGTTTTATCAGTCGCTGCATACACACGCACCCACGACGAACAAACGGAAGAGAGACACCAATAATTTATCACTCCCTACCGTACATAAGGAATGCGTCCAAGGCTACAGAACGCATTGCGTCAAAGCTAGGCGTGGGCATCGCTCATCATCCGGCGGCCACCATGCGTAGCAGGATCATGAAAATGAAGGATCGGCTGGACGCAGGTGAACAGTCGGGCGTAGTCTATCAAATCCCGTGCCCAAAACTGTCCTTGCCACTACACAGGCCAGACAGGACGACGTCTCAGCTCACGAATACTCGAGTACAAACGGGCAGTCCGAAGAGGCGACCCACTGTCTCAAGTTGCCACTCACACGCTGGAGGAAGGCCATGAGTTCGACTTCTCCAACACGCGGAAATTGGCGCGAGCCGGCAACAAGACAGGGCGAGAACTGTTGGAGGCTTGGGTGTCGGACGCCAACTCTATCAATAGACACATCGATTTGCCTGCGTGTTATCGCGCACATCGCCCACGCAGCCAGGTGGCGCACCGTGGCGAAGTACAAATGGCGTCACCACGCCGGGGGACCATCGCGGACCAGGCGGCACAAACCTTAGCTAGCCACGGACGTACACCACCCCCTTCCCTCCCAGGAACAGCGATATAAATGTTCACAAGTTGCTGCACTCAAGCAGTCTCTGATGCTGAACTCCAGTTCGAGTTCGAAAGCTCAGGCAAATAAATCTACTGTCCCAGTGATCGTGCCTTCGTCTTTTTTTAAACAAGAACCTGGGATGCGCATATTCTCTTCCATTCATTAGTAAGCTAAGTGCCAAAAACAGGATTCCCTAAGTAATATATCTGTAATCCACCAGATGACTACCAGGCTCATTTGGTATCAAGATACCTAATTAAGTGAGCCTAGGAGGCATCTGGTGGATTCTAGATTGATCGTCTAAAATAATGCCTGAGCAGTCAGCTATCTGCGTCGGATTTGATGGATTCCATACGTTTGAGTAGGCTGGGCGGGTAACTTGACCCAACCGGAACCAAATGTATGGCTCCTGTTGGGGCCTTATAATTCGGGTAGTTAGGGCAATGGCAGTAGTCAAACTATCCCACTGCTGTCGTGAGTTCACATCCCACCGATGTCGCCGAGCCAAAATGAACCACTATAAATATGCCACAACACCTTCTACACGGCGTGTTCCATAGGTAATGACTGCAAACTCCCAAAGGCCACAAAAATTCAGAATGAGTAATTTGCAGCCATGAAGCAACTATTTCGCGTGTCTGTATTCTCATCAGTGTTTGCAGTCTAGGTTCCAAAAATATCCTGCAATTATTTTTTGGGTGGCAATATCACACACGACTCTTTCGTAGTTAAACTGAATGTTTTCCTTAAAAGGCTGTAAATTATGGGGTTGGCCTGAATTATTTGCTGATATGCTTATATTAAGGCATAACCTCACAAACGGCTTTGAATTATACCTCAATAACTTAAAGTCAAATACGACGCCTAAAGGGGTTTCTTACGTAAAATTCTAAATTTTTTTATTAATTATGACAGGTTAACATAACCGCAAAAGTAAACATTAAAACATTAATTATGCGAAGCATTCTGACGACGACACTCCGAGAGTCTAATACATATGACAGAAGTGCGCTCACAGATCAGGTTGCGTGGCTGGCTTGTCCCGTTTAGCTCAGAGACGAAATCTAGAGCCCCCCAAAGGCTGTCGTATAGTGACAAGCACGTGGACAAAAGGAGGAGTACCGGCTAAGACTTTTTGAAACGGGGATGGCATCTTCTGGTTTGTTAGCTGGTCGTTAAGTAGCCGTGCCTAACCCAAGGTTTGCCGAACCCGATTTTCTTGATCGTCGAAAGTCAGTAATCCCAAAGTCAGCACCTTGCGTGGGAAACGTCCAGCAATTAGAACATAAGGCACGCAGTGTGAGTCTACACTAGCACAAAATGGCGATATACCTCTGTTAAAGGGGTTTTAGTCCGGCATGATATAGCCCTCGCATTAAGGGGTCACTCAAAATAGCCATCAAGAAACCCACTGTATCTAACCTCACTTACCTGCAGAGTCTTCTGATCAGGTTTTGCGCATTCCGAGAGATCTTTCTAGGAAAAGTGATGGCTTCAATGCCCTTCAGGATAATGTTATACGTTTTCATGGGTTCTTCGCTCGTAAAAGGCGGTCTATGAAGAAAGAGGCCCTTTGATTACCAAAAAGTTCCAAAAAATATTTGTTCTTGAAACAAGGCAAATCGGGTAACTTTGTCAACAATTTCCAGCAATAAGCAGCGTTTGGGCCAGAGACCGCTATCTCTCAGTTAAAACACGGCAAACGAAATCAAGGAAATTCTTTGAGGTCGCCAATTTTAACATGGACGGGAATAATTATAATAACAGCAGTTTGTTGATGTCACGTTCTAATTGGTCTCCATATATGCACACTGTTGCCTTCGTTTTCTCCCAAGGTCTTTTATAGAAAATGTGCATAAAATATGCTTTCTTTTACTCGTTCGGTAGAAAATCACACTGTCTTCAAACGTTATACCTGAAGAAAGTGTATTTGTAGGTTTTAAAAGTTTCTAATCATGAAATGTTTAAGACCGCGCGATGTCCATACATATAACATCGTACATGTACGTTTGCCTAGGCTTCTCATGAAATATACAACAAAGTTCGAATTTGTTGCAAAATTTTATGAATCCTGTATGGTATTTTCTTAAAGACATAGAGGAATATATGATTTTTCTTGCGCTGAAAGCGTGCACCTTGTAGACTGAAATTGCTAAACGCTGATGCAAGGGCAGATCTGGTTCAAAATTATTTGGGAATTGGAAAACGTCTTTAAAACCTGAAGATACACCTTTTTCAGGCAGTGAATTTGAGGATAGTAAGATTTTCCAACGAACGAGAAAAAGAAAGCATATTTTTATGCCCGTTTTCTATAAAATATGTTTGAATATGTAAAAGTATCGAAAATCAACACGAAAAATGCATGCTAGTTAAATAATCATGTTTTGCAGATCGCGGTTTCTGCAGAAGATCAAAAAGGAATGAATCCAAATACAAATATCCTGGTGAGTCCAAAATGCTATTGGATTAAGCTGCATGCTAATCGATGTTACAACCCCACCTAAGTAATCCTTCCTAATCGAAAACACATTCCAGAATTTTGGCCAACACTACTTGAGATCGGTCACGCACCGTAGAGTCGGCGAATTGCGTCTCTGATGTTTTGCAGACTCTCCAGTAAAAAATATGGCAAATCGATTTTAGCTTTTTCGTTTACTAATTACACGCGATGACTCGAAACTTCCAAATTTTAACAAGGACATAAAAGTCACGGAATGAAAAGTTCTCGGATAAAATTCACCCACTGTGGCTTTTAAAACGACTGAGGACGACTTGTGAAACCTAGTCAAAATAAAACCGGATGCATCTGTTACTCAGCGGTGGCTATCGATTTATCATAGTTTTATTGCCCTTAAAACGCTGCAGTTGCCCAAGACATTCAAAATAGCAAACGCGAATTGTTAACACTTACGCTCCTATGTGCAGTTCAAAGATTAATATTCCAAGCGACCACGAGTCGGCTGAGAAATCGTGCCCTTTGTTGAGAATTATCTCCGGTGCCACGTATTCAGGTGTTCCACAGAATGTCCAGGTCTTTCTGCCAAAGCCAATGTTTTTAGCAAAGCCGAAATCAGTCTAAAAGGGTTAAAAATAACACATATAGCAGAGCTGAGTAGCCATAGGAGGGGTAAATCTTGAACAAAAGCAGACCTCGGCCAATGGTGTCCGCGTCTCACGTCATTGGAAATTTGCGTCTTTCAAGCTGGAAAGTTATCCTCAGTCTGTGGTTCGATAAGCAGGTACGCAGTTAACAAAACCGAATTTTCTTGTTTCTCACATGGTCACTTTGCTCCGTAATCGTGGATTTAGAGGTTAAACTTGCCCCTCGAAAAAAAACAGCGGGCTTCTACACTTCGGAAGTGGAGTTAGCCCCATAAGTAGAAAAACCGTACGTCACTTTTCGCAGTTATGAGTGTTTGCTTGTCTCGTATTTTTCAGAGGGTACCTGTCAATACACCTCTCCCCCTTGAAGAGCGTCAGGTCGTAATTCGCCCCCATTTTCTTAAATATAATATGGACATATTGACCCAACTGTGA